GATGGTCCTTAGCCTGCTTGGGGCCCTGGGGGTGCCTGACAGCCTCTGAGGGAGACAGAGCAGGTGGTCCTTAGCCTGCTTGGGGCTCTGGGGGTACCACACAGCCTCTGAGGGAGACAGAGCAGGCAGTCCTCAGCCCACTCGGTTCTGAGGGTACCAAAGGAGCCTGAGGCCCATTGAGGAGGAGTGTTACATTCAAACAAGCACCTCTTGTCCCTCCGACCGGCCTCTGCAGAGAGGCGGGAGACATTCGGACATTACAGTCAAGCTGGAGCCTGCTGTGGCCCATACTCTTGAGCTTAAGGGTCAAACAGTTGATGGAGAGCTGGTTTCAGTTAGCAACACAGCATCCCACTTCGTGACCCCACTGTTGTGAGGATGCAGGGAGGATCCATGTGAAGCAGGACTGACACCTACTAAGGGCTCAGTGCTTGTTAGCCCTTTTTGACTATTACGTTGTCATTGTCCTCACTCCTGGCTCATGTCAGTTGGGTTGGTATTAATTGGACACGCATATGTACCTTATTTTTTCTGTTCCTGACTGTCTTGGTCCAGTCCATATGGCAAAACAAGAATAGTCACAATTCTGTTAAGCACCGTATAGTGTAGCCTTTTCTTACATGCACCCTCAAAACAACTCTGTATGAGGAGGTGAGGCTTCTCAAGCCCTCCCTGGCTCCACTCAGGCCCGCCCCCCGGGTCCACCCAGGCCGGCCCGGCTCCTTCCAGGCCCTCTGCCAGCTCCTCCCTCCCAGGCCAGCCCAGGCCGTGCCGGCTCCTCCCTCCTAGGCCCGCCATGGCTCCACCCACGCCCATCCCAGCCCGTGGTAGTAGCCCATCCTGGCCTTTCTGGACCATCTCATTGTCTACCCAGAGCCAGGCCGGTCTTCTAATAAAACACCTCAAGGACACAGCACTCCTGGGCTTGAAGCCCTCCCCCGACAACTCCCCATGGGATGAGGTCAAGACTACATTGAGGCCCCTAAGTCCCCCCACCTCCTCCCAGCCGTCTGCCCAAAGCATTCTCCGGATACACTGACCCCTCTTCTGACTCCTTTGCACATGCTGTGCCCTTTTGTCGTGTTCAGTCTCTACTCCTCTTTCAGGCACCTGCTTGGGTCTTGGGAAACCCTTCCCTGCAGTGCCTCCCGCAGTTCACCTGCACCCCAGCCCTGGGAGCAGAGCTGGGTTACAGCTCAGATCGCAGTCCCGTGGCTGCTTGTCCTTGTGTTTCTAGAGCCCAGCAGAAGGGCAGGACAGGGCCGACTTAGGCGAGTGTGAGGGCAGGAGAGAAAGGGAAAAAGCCCCAAGACAGGAAATGGCAGGGCTCCAGATCTTGAGCCTGTTCTCCTCACCCCAGACTCCCCAGTACCCTGGCACCCAGGTGTTTTGTTTACTGTTTCATTTGATCCTCACAACAATCCAGTGTCTTCAGTTTATGGAAAAGGCAGCCGAGGCTCAGAGAATAACTTGCCTAGAGTCGCCCAGCTGGATCCCAGCCCAAGTCTGTCTGATGCCAAAGGCCATGTCTTAACTCTGGACTGTTATCTTCCTGGTGAATAGTAATGTAAAATGCACTCATATTTATTTATTATTATTTTTTTAATATTTTATTGTGTTTTCAGTGAAAGGTTACACAGCAGGTTAGGTTCTCATTTAACAATTACTATGTGTATTGACAGTGACATTGGTTACATTTTGTACAATGTGTTAACATTCTCATCCCTTTCCTTCTGGATCTTTCACTTCTAATAATCTGGTTTCCCTACTCCCTTACCCTTTTATCTTTGCTTTAGAGTACTTGTTGACCGTTTGGTCTCATGTAGATGATTTTGTAAAGATGTGCAGTACTCATTGATAGTATTCTTTATTTTCTGAGCCACTTTGTTATTTAGCTGAAAGGGGACTTCAGGGGGTAGTTTCAGTTCAAGGTTTATGGCGTATCTCAGGGCAGTAGTCTCAGGGAGTGTTCTAGTCTCAACTGGTCTAGTATGTCTGGACTTTTTAAGAGTTTGAGTTGTGCTGCACATTTTTCTCCCATTCTATCAGAATCCACCTATTGAGGCTTGATCAAAACGGTCATTAGTGGTATCCAGGCACATCTAGTTCTTCTGGTCTCAGGGTAGGTGAGGCCGTGGTTTATGTAGACTATTAGTTCTGTAGACTAATTTCTTCTCTGAGTCTTTGGTTTCCTTCTTTCTCTTTTGCTGCAGACAAGATGAAATCAATAGTCATATCTTAAAAAAAAACCAAACCAAACCTGTTGCCGTTGATTCCGACTCATAGCGACCTTATAGGACAGAGTAGAACTGCCCCATAGGGTTTCCAAGGAGCGCCTAGTGAATTCATACTGCCGATCTTTTGGTTAGCAGCCTTAGGTCTTAACCACTATGCCACAAGGGTTTCCAAAATAGAGTTTCCAAGGAGCACCTGGTAGATTCAAACTGCCAGCCTTATGGATAGCAGCCGAACTCTTAACCACTCCGCCACCAGAGTTCCTGCGTTGTATCTTAGAGCACTTGTATTTATTTAGAGGCGTGTATATTTCTACCAATCCCTTGTCATACCTCCAACTTGCTTGATCCACAAAAGGCAACCCTGTGGGGTGGGGTCAGCTGGAATGAAGATCACCTTTGGCAGGTAAAGGTGCAGGTTCCCCCCACCCAGCACTCCCTGTTGTAGAGCAGAGAAGGGTACCTGGCCTTTGGGAAGGGTTCTGCTCCTCCAGACTCCTGTGTGAGGCAGGCCAGCCACCTCACCTAGAGCAGAGAGGAACTGCCACCCACCCAGGGCCTCCGGGCACAGTGGTGGCCATGGTGGCACTGCGGGCTGCCGTCCCCGCCTGGCGGAACGTGTGTCCTGTTGCCTCTTTGCAGACATGATTAACAAGCAGGACTGTAAGTACGGGGATAACTGCACCTTCGCCTACCATCAGGAGGAGATCGACGTGTGGACCGAGGAGCGGAAGGGCACCCTCAACCGTGACCTGCTCTTTGACCCGCTGGGGGGCGTCAAGCGTGGCAGCCTCACCATCGCCAAGCTCCTTAAGGAGCACCAGGGCATCTTCACCTTCCTCTGCGAGGTACCAGCCTGCCCGCTCCCCCACCTGCCCTGCCCGCTCCTCAGTCTGTGGTGCAGGTGGGGCTGGGGGATGTTCCCAGCATACTCCATCACGGACTATCAGGCTGGAGTCTGTGGAAGCCAGCACCTTAGAACGAGCAGGTCCTTGGACTGTCAGAACCGTTAGGCTGTAGATCCTGTCATACTGGAGCCCGGAGCCTAGCCGGCCCCTCATTTTGTGGAGGAGGAAATTGAGGCCAGAGAGAGGAATAACGACCCTCACACCTGCTCTTCTTGAAGGCCAGTCCAATCCAGGCTCAGAGCCAGGGGCTTCAGGCTCTCATCCCATCCTTCCAGCAGCCCTGTCAGGCAGATACAATTGTCCCCATTTTACAGACGATGAAGCTGAGGCTCAGGGAGCTGGAGCAGTTCCCCTGAGGCTGCATGGCTGGCTCAGTGCAGACCTGAGGTTCAAACCGAGGCAGTCAGTCCCTGGAGCCCATGCCCACGTCCCAGTGCCAGCTGCTGCTGAGGGTCCTCACAGCCAGGATCCTGTGAAGCAGGCCCAGTGGTAGCTTGTCCAGGGCTGCACACGAATCCCTGCTGTGGACACGGCATGTTGGGCGCTCCCCACCGTCCCAGGCAAGGTGTCCTCGGCCTTGTTTTTCACCCCTCCCCCCACACCCTTCGTGTGTTTCTACGTCACAGACCCTTTGAGGCTCCAGTCTCCGCATCTCCACCGAGCTGTTGTTAATTCCCTCCCCAGAGTTGTCACAGAGACCCTGCCTGGGCTTAGGGGTGAGCTTGGCCCTCAGCATCCCCAGCCAGGTGTAGCATGTTCAGGACAGGGCCATGTCTTATCTGGGTCAGTGTGGACTCTTAGCAGGTGTGGTATGGCCCAATCTGGCCCTCCTCTGCCTGCTCCCTTCAGAGACTGATGGGCCTGGGAGTCACAGCGGGCAGCAGCATGCAGTTTCAAAGCACCTGCCTTCCGTTATACCCTTTTTGGCCTTCCCCAGTAAGCCTGTGGGACAAAGCAGGTGTGGTTGTCCCCATTTCACATTGAGGGAACTGAGGCTCAGACAGGAGTAACCCCCTGCCCCAGGCATTTGGAGTGGGGGGATCAGAGAGATGGAGGGAGAGAAAGGGAGCCCAGGCCCAGGTCATCTGTAATCTCAGCCAGAGAGGGGGCCACAGACCCAGGACCGCTTCCTCACTCCTGACATAGGGCAGGGTATGCCAGGTCCCTGCCTGCCCCCTCCTTGGATGGCCATGTAGGATCCTGGCCTACCCCCTCCCTGGATAGCCATGCGGGGTCCCCCACCCTATCCCCGGGTGACCATGCAGGGTTCCAGCCCGCCCCCTCCCCGGGCAGATCTGCTTTGACAGTAAACCCCGGATCATCAGCAAAGGCACCAAGGACTCTCCGTCCGTCTGCTCTAACCTGGCCGCCAAGCACAGCTTCTACAACAACAAGTGAGTGGGCCCGCAGCCTGTCCTCTGTGGGCGGGGGCAGGGTGAGGGTGGGAGGAGAGTCTGCTAGGGCAGCTCAGATGGCTGGGGAACAGCTGAGGCCAACAGGTGTCCCTGGCTGTCAAGGCAAGGGGCTGCCTTTGGGCCTGCGGTCCGCCATGTGCCTGGAAGGCTGGAAGCATACTGTCGATCACCATCCCCACTCCAAGAAGCCTCTTGGAAATTTGGATGGTCTCAACAATCCTGTGAGGGAGGAGTGAGTGTCCATTTTACAGATGAGAAAGCTGAGGCTTGGGAGTAGCTTACTAAGCAGGCAAGGGGTGGGGCCAGGCTGCTGACTCCTGTCCCGTGCTCTCCACTGTGTGGCATCAGCAGCAGATGGAGTGGGAGAGGGCCTGGAGGGGCTGGCACAGCCTTTGCTCCCTCTTGTTCCCTGTGGCTCTGCCCCAGCATGGGTGCTGGGCCCAAATCCCAGCCTGGCCAATGGCCTGCTTTATGTCCTCTGGCCACTCAGACCCTCGGTTTCCTCATCTGCAAAGGAGATGACGATCCGGATTTTTTAGGGTTGCTGGCAGGGTAATTCAGATTCCTGACCCAGAGAAGGTGCTCAATGACTATTCCTGTGGGTGCAGGCCAGCTCTGGGGACCGAGGTGGGAACCTGAGGGAAATGGCTAGCCCAACTTGCGGGCCCTCCCTTCTCCAGCCTCCTAGCAGGGGGTCTGCTGCCCTTCCTCTGTTGGCAGCTCCATTGGAGCTGGCCCCAGGTTGAAGCCTGAGGGGGGACCACAGCTAGGACAGTGCAGAGCTGGGACTCGCACCAGGACTGCGGGAGTGTAGAACCCCATCTCTTAGGTACTGTGCCATCCACGTTCTAGAAACGGCCCAGAGAGCAGGAGGCCCCAGGGCAGAGATCTCCCCTCAGGCTCGCCTTGCGCTAGGAAGAATTGCCCTAAGGAATCGGTGGGGGGGATTGTGGGGACGGCTGACTGCATTGGACCCCTCCCCGTGTCCCCCAGGTGCCTGGTGCACATCGTCCGCTCCACCTCCCTCAAGTACTCGAAGATCCGCCAGTTCCAGGAGCACTTCCAGTTCGATGTGTGCCGCCACGAGGTGCGCTACGGCTGCTTGCGGGAGGACAGCTGCCACTTTGCCCACAGCTTCATTGAGCTCAAGGTCTGGCTGCTGCAGCAGTACTCAGGTGAGCGGTACACAGGTGAGCAGGTGGGCGGGGGCAAGCCGGGGGCGGCTGGGGGGATGGCAGGTGGAATGGCCTTCAGGGCCATCCAGAGAAGGGTGGTAGCTGGCACCCCTGGGAGTTCTCTGGAGCAGGTATGCTTCCTGTGCCTCACAGAGGAGAAAGAAGCTCTGCCCTCAGGGGGCTCCCAGTCTCCCCAGGTTTATCCCTGTCTGGGCACTGCCAGGGGGTCAGGGCTTTGGAGCCGTGCAGACCCGGGCTCCTGTTCCTGCCCCTCCAGTGGTTGTCGGCAAGTCTCTTCTCTCTCAGCCTCCATTTGCTCATCCGTGAAATGAGGATCATAACCTTTGTCTGATAGAGTTGTTGTGGAGATGAAAAGATATCCACTCATTCATTCACTTACTCACTCATCACTCCTTCATCCGCCAAGGATTTATCAAACGCTTTTCTGGGCCGGGGATTCAGCAGTGAACACGTCGCAGTCCTCAATCTCAGAGAACTTACATTTATAAGAGGGGGCGAGACAGACAGTGAACAAGTATTCCATTCGCTCTAGGATGCCCATCCCCCCACTGCATGTCATAATTTAATTAGCATTTTTTGTGGGGCATAAAGTAATGTTGCGTCGAGCGATCACTGTCTCTTTGAGTTGGCAAAGTACAGCACTATCATTTCAGAGGTGCATTGGTGCTGTGAGGACAGGCAATAGGATAGAGACTCAGGGTGGGGGGCATTTCAGGTGAGGTGGTCAGGGTGACATTTGAGCAGGGAAGAGCATTCCAGGCAGAGGGAACAGCAAAGCTGGAAGCCCTGAGGTAAAAGCAACTTTAATACAGAAAGACTATCTGTAGGGGTGGAGCAGCTGAGTAAATTGGGGCGGGCAGATGAGGCCCAAGAGGTCGCCAGGGGCCAGAGTGCGTGAAAGTCTCAGTCATCTAAGTAGATGGGATTGTTCTGAGTGTGATGTGCTTTGTCTGGAGGGTTTTAAGTGGGTGGAGTAGTATGATCTGATTAATGTTTTTTAAAAAAGGTCACTTTGGCTGCTGGGTAGAGAACTGACTAGAGGGCCAGGGCAGAGGCAGGGAGATCGTGGGGAGCCCATTGCAGAGAGGATGGTGGCTCTGGCTGGGGGTGGGGGGAAGCGATTCGATTCTGGGTGTATTTTGATGGTGGAGCCGGTGGATTTGTTGATGGGCCAGATAGGAAGCATGAGACAAGTATGAGACCCCGAGGTTTCTGGCCAGGGGCCTGGGAGAATGGGGTTGCTGTGAGTAGGGGAGGCTGTGGAAGCAGCAGGCTTGGGGGGACTCTCAAGGCCCAGTTTGGGACGTTGGGAGTCTGAGGTGCCTGTGGGACTTCAAGGGGAGATGTTGAGCAGGGGCCCAAGGGGAGATGTTGAGCAGGGGCCCAATGCCAGGGTCTGGAAGTTTGCGGAGAGGCCGGGCTGTAGTAGACATCCAGGACTCGTCAGCAGGAAAATGGATGATAGGTGCAGAGCTGGCCCACAGGTGCTCGGTGGGGTAGAACCCACAGGACAGGGTAGAAAGTGAAGTCCCTTGTGGGAAAGGGACTAGAGAGAGTGGAGGGCAGGGAAGAGGTCATGCTCCAAGTAAGAGGCACAGGGCTGGACCTCGAGGGGTGAGCCTAGTTGCAATAGTACAAGGTTGGCAGGGACGTACTGGGAGGGTCTGGGCTGCGAGGCGGGGTGTGTCCCTGAGACACACCACGGCCCCTCCATGAATGGCCCTCTGAGCCTGTCCACTGTGAGCTGGTGAGCCAGGTAGCTGGCCAGGCACAGAGACCTAAGAACCAGTAGACTGGAGGCTTCCCAGCAGGGGTGAGACGGAGGACCCATTAAGGGGATCAAGGAGGGGTGCTGTGGCACTGGCCTAAGACACTGGGACACTGGCATTGGGGGTGGGGGATGTCACTGTGCCATGGTGCAGGGCCCACATCTCTGCTACATTTGCCAACTCTGCATTTTCTTTTCTCAGCCCCCAGGAGGGTTCGGAACAGGCCTTCTTGTTCCCATTTTGCAGATGAGCATGCAGACCCCAAGAGGATGAGTGGTTCCCTGGGCCCTGCGTCTGACTGAGGCAGGGCATCACCTGAGAGTAGTTCCCAGGGCCCCAGAATCTCGCCTGGGAGTGGGGCTCCTCCCTCCGGCTCCACGTCTGACTGAGGCAGGGCATTACCTGGAAGTGGTTCGCTGTGCCCCAGGATCTCGCCAGGGAGTGGGACTCCTCCCACTGGGCCCTGCGGGGTTCTGGTACCTCGAAGAGCCCCTGCCTGTCACCTTGCCAAGCTCCTCGGGGATACCATGTTCCCTCTCCACCTTCCCCAGGCATGACCCATGAAGACATCGTCCAGGAATCCAAGAAATACTGGCAGCAGATGGAGGCCCATGCAGGGAAAGCTAGCAGCAGCTTGGTAAGGCCCTGGGGTTGGCTGTGGGAGCAGGACTGGGCACAGTGACCCCAGCCCAGACCTCTCGCCCCAGGGGGGATATCTCCTATCCCTTTACCAGTTGCCGTCGAGTCGACTCCAACTCACGGCAATCCCAACGTATGTCAGAGTTGAACTGTGTTCTATAAGGTTTTCAATTTCTGACTTTTTGGAAGTATATTGCCAGGACTTTCTTCTGCAGTGCCTTGAACCTAGGTGGTCTCAAACCAAACCTGGGTGGATTCGAACTGCCAACCTTTCAGTTAGCCGAAGGCATTAACTGTTTGCACCACCCAGGGACTCCCCTCTCCCTTTCCTTTGACATAATTTCAGTCTTACCAGAAAGTTGTAAGAATAGTGTAAAGAATTCTTATATACTCTTTTCTGGATTCGCCAAATGTTAGCATTTTACCACATTCCTTATTTGCTTTGTCCTTTGTGTATGTGTGTGTATATACACATGTATACATTTACGTACATAAATATACACACTTTTTTTCTGAGCCATTTGAGAGAAAATTTCAGACGTGATGTGCCATTGCTCCTAAATAGTGTGTGCTTCATAAAACTAAAGGCCCGCCTTCTGTTCCATAACCACAGTGACGGTTATCAGCATCAGGACATTAACACTGATACAGTGCTATTCTCTTACTTAGATTTGGTGAATTGTGAAAACCCCATATAATACATTGCGTTCAGTTGCCGTGTCTCTTTAATTTTCTTTGATCTAGAACAGTCTCTCCATCTGTCCTTGTATTTCACAGTGTTGACTTTTTTTTTTTATAATTTATTTTGTTGTTGTTGAGAATATACACAGCAAATCATACACCAGTTCAACAGTTTCTACATGTACAATTCAGTAGCATCGATTACATCCTTCGAGTTGTACAACCATTCTCACCCTCCTTTTCTGAGTTGTTCCTTCCTCATTAACATAAACTCACTGCCCCCTGAGGTTCCTATCTAATCTTTTGAGTTGCTATTATCAATTTCAGCCCATATAGATAGTTCTTAAAATAGCATAACGCTCAAGGCAGACGTTTTTACTTGTTAAGCTAAACTATTGTTTGGTTTTAAGAAGACTTTGGGATATTTTTGGTTTAGGGTTTAAAATTTATTTAAACATTATCTCAAGGCAATAGTTTCAGGGGTTCATCCACCCTCCATGGCTCCAGAAAGTCTGGATTCCATGAGAAATTTAAATCCTGTTCTGTATTTTTCCCCTTTTGATCAAAATTCTTCTGTAGAATCTTTGATCAAAATGTTCAGTAATGACAGCTGGGCAGTTCTGGTCTCATAGCCAAGGAGGCAGTTGTTCATGCAGGCAATTACATTGACATTTTAGAAGAGCCTGGGCCAGTTATCCTGTAGAAAGTCCCACCATTTAGGGGGTCCTGGTGCCCCCTCACACCACAGGGGCACTGATGTGTCTCCTTAGTTCACATACTGGGAGGCATCTCAGTCTGTCCCTTCACTGCCATGTATGAACATGGGTAACTTGATTAAGGTGATTGCACTGTATAGGTTTCTCCACTGTCAAGTTCTATTTGCTCCTTTGTAGCTAATACCTAGTTTCTTGGGAGATATTCTGAGGCTCTGCAGATATTCCGGTACTCCTAAAACATACACCCACTGATTGTATCATCTCCTGTCCCTCTTGGTCCTCACCATGGTCCTGAAGAAGTGACCTGTGGCCTTGCAGCATTTTGCAGATGGGGAAACTGAGGCTCGGAGCATGCCAGAGACTTTCCCAGGTGCACACATAGTGGGGTAAATCACAGAGTCTCTGACTCCTTGCCTCACCCTGCATCATTCCCATCACCTGTCACCCTCACTTGCTCATGCATAAGGGGGAGACCGTAGTCCTCCCCCGCCCATCTCAGGGTGGATGTGAGGCTCACGGGCTGACCGATGCTGCAGCTCGCCAAGCCCCTCCTGTGCGGTGTGTGGTAGGCCCTGTGCTCCCCCGATCTCATGCCCACCCCAGGAGGTGGGGTCATCATCGTAACTGTAGGATGACAGTGAGGAGGCTCAGGGGCTGGTCTCAGGGCCCAGGTCAGTCTGGAGACAGTGAGTTAGTGTGAGGTGACGCCTCTGTGCTGTCCACACCAGGGATGACCCCCTCACCCAGGCCAGGCCCACCCACTGGTCAGCGTGGGTGAAGGCAGAGCAAGCCGGGCGGTGGGGCAGCCCGGGCCAGGCTGCCCACTCTGCCAGCCCCTTCTCCCTTCCTCTGACCCTCTCCTGTGTAGTCCTCCTCCCCCTGCCCCCTCCCCGCCCCCGCTGGGAGCCTGGCTGGGAAGCAGTGAGGGGCTCAGGTTGGGCCTGCAGTGGTGTCCTCTAAAGGGAGGACACTGAGTCCTCACCACCTCCTGTCCCTTGGAGCCCCTCATGCCTGCCCAGTAGGGCAGCCAGGGCCACCCAAGGACAGCACAGGCCAAGCAGGAGGAGGGACCCGCGGGTGTCACAAGGGACTTCAGCCCTCCTCCTGCCGGGGTCCTGCCTGTTCCCCAGATGCCACCCCTTGGCCTGGCTTGGGAGCAGCAGGGCTTCTGGGCCAGGCCTGACTGGTGCCTAGGAGGAGGCTGCTTGCTGGCCATCAGGAGGGTGGGGCTGGTGGCACTGTGAAGCCGAGGAGGGACACAGGGTAGAAGCTGCTTGACCAGCATTGGTGGCCACCGTGCCATCCCTCAGGGAGAAGAGCACTGCCCCACGCCAGGCCCTGTCCTCCCACACTTAACCTGTGGGGTGTCAGTAACCTCTGAGTCCCTGTCTGCTTCCCCTGCCCCACCTCCGAGGGCTGCTGCAGGGAGCTGGTGGGACCATCCGTGGTGGCAGGGCTCAGTGAAGCAGCGCGTGGTCATTAGAGCGGTGGCTGAGCACCCACACCTCTCCCGCCCCACTTACTGCCCGTGATGGGGAGGAACACCTTCTCCTCAGGCTCCTTGTGAGAATCAGGCAGGACCTTGGAACTCCACTGCCCTCTGCTTGCCCTCGCACATGTCCCAGTGACAGAATTGATGTTTGTCACTGGGATGACTCGTGTGTTGTCCTGGGCCTGAGCCCGGCTGCAAGTCTCCTGGCTCCAGGCCCGGGGTCAGCCAACAAGCCACAAGGACACAGCTCCATCCTACGCCCGGCAGGCCCTGGGCTGGGCAGTGCTGGGGATGGGGAGACAGTCCCAGCTCCTGCCTTGGCCAGGGTCACACAGCAGGAGACAGGCCCATGCCAGCCTGGAGGAGAGAGGGCTGCACAGGGTGACTCCACACCTGCAGCTCCTTGGAGACCTGGAAAGGCTCTGTCTAGTAATGGAGCGGGGAGGGCGGTGTGTCCACAGAGCAGCAGGTTGTCCTGTGTGGCTGGGGTGAGGGGACAGCGAGGAAGAGGAGGGTGATAGGAGACAAGGCTGGGGGGGCACTTTGCCCACCTCCTGCCCTACCCTGTCCCAGGTGTGCAGGGGAGCAGACTCTCCTGCCTGCAAAGAAAAGGCCAGGGCAGAGGGTGGGGGAGGGACATGGCAGGGGCCTTGGCCTGGAGGGAGGGGCCAGAGCCCAGGGCTGCCTGATGTCTGCTGCCGCCCATGGCAGGTCCCTCCCTCCCCTCCCGCAGTGGCACCAGCTCTCTCCCAGGCCCAGTGCTCGTGGTTGGTCAAGGAAGTCGACATGTGGTGTAGTTCAGGTTCTGTGGGAGCTCAGAGGATGGGCACCTGCGACTCAGGAGGGCCCCAAGGAAGGCTTTCTGGAGGAAACGGTGTTTGAGCTGGGATTTGAAAGGAGGTTTGGAATGAGCTGGATAAAGTATGGAGGAAGGGCATTGCAGGCAGAGGAACAGCATGTGCAGAGGCAGGGAGGTGTGTGGCATAACCAAGCCCAAGGCAGTGCAAGCAGTCCCACAGCACAGGCCTCGGGGTGTGGAGATGGGAACTGCCTCGATGAGCTGGGCATCAGCAGCTCTTCCGAGCCTGGCTCCCACACTGGAAACCTGCAGTGGGAAGAGCAGGGAGGAGGCTGGCCCTTTCCAAGGCTCTCGGCAGCCCTGGCACTCCCGGACACGTCTGTGTGGCAGACCCCAGGGCCTTAGGCCCAGTGTCTGTGGCTGCACCAAGCCTCTCCCCACCCCCACAGGGCGCCCCACGGACGCACGGACCCAGCACCTTTGACCTGCAGATGAAGTTCGTTTGTGGCCAGTGCTGGCGGAACGGGCAAGTGGTGGAACCTGACAAGGACCTCAAGTACTGTAGTGCTAAGGCCCGGCACTGGTGAGCAGGCCCGGGCAGGCTCGGCAGGCTGGGCCCCGAGTGCCACGGGGGAGGCTGGGACCCAAGAGGCCCCGAACCTTCCCCAACCAGCCTCCCACTCTGTCCTGCAGCTGGACCAAGGAGCGGCGGGTCCTTCTGGTGATGTCCAAGGCCAAGAGGAAGTGGGTGTCGGTGCGGCCGCTGCCGTCCATCCGCAACTTCCCGCAGCAATATGATGTGAGTGGTGGGGGGCAGTGGCGGGCAGTGGGACCTGGGGCCTGGGAGGGTGGAGGCAGCGAGGCGGTGCAGCCAGACTCAGGTCCACCCACACCTGCCCTACAGCTCTGCATCCATGCGCAGAATGGCCGCAAGTGCCAGTACGTGGGGAACTGCTCCTTTGCACACAGCCCTGAGGAGAGGGACATGTGGACCTTCATGAAGGAGAACAAGAGTGAGCGGGGGGTGAGGGGGCTCACCCGACATTGCCCTCTGGGGAACACCAGCTCCTCATCAGGCCAGAGCATGCTCCATACCCCCCTTTGCTCCAGTGCCTCAGCTGTGCCCTCGCTGTCTTCTGTGGTGGACTGAGCCCTAGGGCCAGGCAGCCCGGCATGGGGGTCCTGGGACGCCAGTGGCTCCTGATCTGCCGAGAGAGTCTAAGCCATGTGGGGGTCATGGGCAGAATGGATGGCGAGGCCCCTTACCAGGCACTGTCTCGGCCCCCACCCAGTCCTGGACATGCAGCAGACCTATGACATGTGGCTGAAGAAACACAACCCTGGGAAGCCTGGGGAGGGGACCCCGATTAGCTCTCGGGAAGGGGAGAAGCAGATCCAGATGCCCACAGACTACGCTGACATCATGGTAATGACCTGCCACTGAGGGGACGGGCTGGGCCTAGCCTGACCCAGGAGGGCAGCTGGAGGGAGGCGGGCCTGGCGGTAGGGCGGGGAGAAAGCGCCCAAGGTCGCTGTGCCTCCAGATGGGCTACCACTGCTGGCTCTGTGGCAAGAACAGCAACAGCAAGAAGCAGTGGCAGCAGCACATCCAGTCCGAGAAGCACAAGGAGAAGGTCTTCACGTCCGACAGCGATGCCAGCAGCTGGGCCTACCGCTTCCCCATGGGCGAGTTCCGGCTCTGTGACAGGTGCTCTGGGGAGGCCGGGTTAGGGGCGGACACGGGGGGCCCGCGGGCTGCAGTGGGACTGACACAGTGGAGGCCACGGGCTGGCCCTGGAGCTGGAGCGCAGGAGTGGTAAGGCTAGAAAAGCCGCCCCTGGTGGCACAGTGGTTAAGCGCTCAGCTGCCAACTGAAAAGTCAGCTGTTTCCCGGGAGAAAGATGTGGCAGTTGGCTTCCATAAGGATTTACAGCCTTGGAAACCCTATGGGGCAGTTCTCTGTCCTGTAGGGTCGCTATGAGTCGGAATCAACTCGACAGCAATGGGTTGGTTTTTTTTTTGGTTGGGTGTGGGTATAGACGGGGCAGGTGACCCAGACCTGCCCAGCCCCCTGCTTTGCAGCCCTGAGTCAGATCCCAGAGAGGCCGGGACGCAGCAGCTTGCCCCCGAGCCTGGCTGCCTGGGCAGAGGCTGTGGGAAGGGCCAGGGTGTGGGCAGTGACCCCCTCCCACCCACAGGCTCCAGAAAGGCAAGGCCTGCCCGGACGGGGACAAGTGCCGCTGCGCCCATGGGCAGGAGGAGCTCAATGAGTGGCTGGACCGGCGCGAGGTGCTGAAGCAGAAGCTGGCCAAGGCCCGCAAGGACATGCTTCTGTGCCCACGGGACGACGACTTCGGCAAGTACAACTTCCTGCTGCAAGAGGGCGGGGATGCTGCCACCCCAGAAGCCCCTGCTGCCGCTGCCACCACCACCACTGGGGAGTAGGGCCAGGTCTTGGCCTCGGGCAAAGTCCTGGGGTTAGGGGGCTGCAGTGGAGACAGAGGGCCTGTTAGAGGGGCCAGGGCAGGCCGGGGCTTGGGGTGGGTGGCCGCCCTCACCAGGCAGCCCCCGGCCCCCCAGGCCCCATCTGTCCTTTCTGCCCCCACTGCCCAGGTATGCAGACCCAGGTGCACATGCTGCAGCCCCAAGTGGCCCCAGGGTCCTCGTCCTGCTGAAACCCTGGGCAGACCAGCCCTCCACCCCCACGGTTCTCCTGGCTGGGGGAGGGGCCTCAGCTGGCCCCTCTAGCTTCAGCCTACAGCTTTAACTTCTGTCCTCTCCTAAAGGGGCCCAACACTCAGGGCTGGGGAGCCTAGGGTCCCCACTTGAATCTGCAGCATGAGGATCCTTCTCCCTGCCCCACCCCCCCTCACCTCCCTGGGGGTAGATCAGGACACAACCAAGGGCAGGAGGCCCCGTTAGCTTTAAAATGCAGCCCCAGATGGAGCTGGGAACTCTGTACTGATCACCTACCCTTGTGGCCTCAGTTTCCCCTCTGGGTAGGAGGGAGGGAGGGGCTGGGTTGGATGATCCCTGAAGCCTGACTGAGGGACTGCATTCCCTCTAATAACACAACCCCCGGCCCCTCCATTGTGGGCCCTGAATGTGGATGGTAGCTCCTTAGAGCCTTCAGAGATGATCCCACCCAAACCCCCATTTCGCAGATAGGAAAACTGAGGCCTAGAGGGAAAGAACGACCTGCCAGGGTCTCCAGCCTGCAGCACAAGGCAGAAACTTGGGGCCTGTTATGGACTGGAGCCACAGGCTCCCTGGCAGGGATTGGGTATGCATCTGGGGTCCAGACAGCCACGGGCTGGGGAAGGGACTCGGGGGCTGGGCCTGTAAGCATCCCTGTGGAGGGACAGTACCTCCTGAGGGTGGGTGTAGAGCAGGTAGCAGCAGAGGTTACTTCCCTGCTAAGGATCCCGGCTCTGGCTGCCTGTTCAAGGAGAGGTGGTAAGGGGCAGGGCACCCACAAGCTCAGGTTCTGCATGGGGGCGGCGGGGTGGAGAGAAGGGCGTCAGCCCTGTATACCGAGGGCCACTCCAGGATTAGACCCAACCCTCTTGGGGGTCCAGCAGGGTCCTCTCTCCCTTCTCCCCTAGATCCAGATATACAGTTTTGACCATCTGTCCCAACCCCACCCTGATCCCCGGCCCCACCAGCTGCCTGGGGCCCTAGCTGATGCCCAGCCCCCACCCTCACCTACCGAGCCCTCTCCCAACCCTCTTGTCTGACATGTGCACGACATGTGTGCACTCTTTCCATCCCACCCTCCGGGCAGACCCTGTCTCCCCTGGTTCCCCAGACATTCCAGAATACCCCACTCCATTGTCACAAGGAGTGGGCACCCCCGGAAGGAACCAGGGACCCAGACTGGGCTGGGGGTGAGATGGAGAGAATAAAACCCCTTATTTCTCCTCGAGCAAGGATTGGCAGTGTGTGGATGATGTGATGGGGCACAGGTGGCAAGGAACCCTGTTCCTCCTGCTGCCACTGCTTGACCTTTTCCCGATAACCGTGGCATGCACCCTTTCCTCTTCCCTGACCCCCTCAGCAGGCCAGCACTACAGAGTTTGGGTGCTGGTGGCGTGGCTGGGGGCTGGGGGAGGAGTGCCCATACCCAAGGTGGGGGCTGTGGCCCTGAATGTCGATGACACTTGTTCCCCTGGTCCGTGGTGTTGCAGTCTGTTGTCACCAGCCTTGTTTCTAGTGTGTATATATGTCGCTCCAGTGATGCATATATACACAGGTATTAAATATATCGCTCTATATAATATTATATATGTGTGTGGTATCCAAGGAATCACTTCTAATGAGGGCTAAAGATAAAGGACTTGGCCAGGAAATACAGCCACCCTGGCAAGATTAGGAGTGTTTCCTGCTCGTCAGTGGGCCGGATGCAAGCAGACAGGGACTAGAGCCTTGGGCAGAGGTGATTTGGGGGGTGGGAGTGCTCCCTGCCGGGCCCAGCTCTGCCTGGTAGTCTCCCAGAGCACTAGAGCCCAGTGGGGAGAGAGCAGAGTGCTCAGGGAAAGAAAAGGCTTGTCTCCACCCAGAGGAACAGGACTCAGTCCAGATTTTTCTTCTCTAGCCTTCCGGGGGCCCTTGGAATCCAGGGCTGCCTGAGGTCCTCCTGAGGGCTAGGACAAGAGGGGAGGCTGGAGTGGCTGGGGTGGGGAGGGAAACCAGAACACGTTATTCATGACGAGCAGAGTTACTCAGTTGTGATCCCTAGAAGGGGTAGCTCAGAAGCCCAGAGAGTTGAATTGGGCCTGTGCCCACCCCCAACAGGCAGGGACGAGATGGAGGGAACAAGACAGCACAGCAGGCACAGTGCTGGGGGAGGTGCCACTAATGTGAGTGCCCTTTCTGGTGGAGGCCTGGGAGGCTGCATTTCTCAGCTGGGCGGTAATTGGTTTAATGGTCCTTTAAAGGTGTCTGTGTATTAAAAATTTAAGAATACCACACTTTAATATTAAATATTCATAAGGTCTAGTATCTTGATAATAATGTAGATGTTTTAATAACAATTTTTGTCCTTCTTAAAATAAAATGAAAGAAACTTGCTCCTTTTAGCCTTTGTTCTAGAAAATAAATGTGCACTTTGACCTCTGTCCCCAAGGCGTTACTCCTGTTCCTCCCCACCTGGGGCTTGTGCCCCGGGGCCTGGGCTGTCCTCCTGGGGCTGGGCTGGCACCGGACAGGCCTCAAGGCGGACATTCCGAAGGGTGAGGGGCAGGAGGTCTGTGTTCCCATGTAAACACTTGACCTAGCTGACCCCAGCTCAGGCAGCACCTCACTGGCAGGGACATGCTGTGCTCTGTACAGGTGGCCCATGGTTGCCACTGCACCTGCTCTTCTGTAGCCCGCCCGCTCATGGCCCACTGCTCAGGGTGGTCCCAGGTACCCACCCTCCCGTTCTTTCCTGTGTGTGCCATCCTGGCTCCAGAGCGCAAGCCTCTGACCTTTCTGGGTAAGTCTTTTCCAGGAGGGCGAAGGGGCTGGCCATGCTTTGGAATGTGCTCCCGACGCAGCTCTATGTCTGCTGGGCCTGAGGCGACCGAAGCCACATGGGCCCATTTCTTCATCTTTCCAAAGAGAGGGCATATCAGAGCAGGACTTCTCAATGGGGACACCTGTAGCTGCTGAGGTGGATTGTGCGTGGCTGCATGGGGTCCTGATAGGAGGGGCTGCACATGTCCAGCTTTAGACTTCAATATGCAGTGGCCCCAGGGACAGATGTTGCAGGCCTGTGAATTTTCTCAGGGCAGGGAGTCTCTGGGCTAGGAGCTCACATGGCTGGGTATGCAGTAGGCGCTCAGGTGCTTGATAAATATGGGATGAGTAACAGAAGCAGCTTCTGAGCCCCTTCTCTGCACCAGGCACTGTGATCTAGTACGTCTGTCCACAGCAGCCTTGCACGTTTGGTGTCCAGATTGTGTGGCTCAGGTTCAGCGAAGGTGCCAAGGACACTCGGGAGGCAGAGCCAAGACTGGGAACTGGCAAAGGTCCCTTCAGCTCTGGTGTCCTGTGGTTCTCAGCGCCTGTGGCCACACCAGGAAACCCCAAAGCAGCACAGCCAGGCACAGCTCCTGGAAGAAAAATGCAGACCCACCCTCAGGCTAGCGTCAGTACATTTCTTGAACTCAGAAATTTAAAAGGAGTCAGATAAGCAGGACTGACAGTGGACCCAGTGGACATCAGTTCTTAAATTCTCATAAACAAAAACCAAACCAGTTGCTGTCAAGTCAAATCAACTCCAACTCATGGCGAACCCATCTGTGTCAGAGTAGTAGTGTGCTTCATAGGGTTTTCAATGGCTGTGATCTTTCAGAAGTAGATCGCCAGGCCTTTCTTCTGAGGTGCCTCTGAGTGGATTCAAACCACCAACCTTTTGGTTAGTAACTGAGTGCCAGTGAGGTACTCCTTAAATTCTCATAAATTCCCTTAAATTCACTTCTGGTTGATTAGCATTAGCTGAGTACCTACTCCATCCCAGACCCTAGGATACAAGATTCCTGGAGAAACTGTGGCTCCCTGGAATTCACAGTGAGGGGACCAACCTAAATAGAAGATTGCAGGATGATGTGATGAGCAGGGGAGGGTACCTCATCCAGGCTGGGGAACCCAGGAGAGCTTCCTGGAAGAGGTGAAACTGCAATTGTGACTTTGCAAGTATTTTTACATCATTGTAATCTAAGTGCAGGCTCCCTGAGTGGTGCAGATGGTTAAACACTAGACTACTAACCGAAAGGTCAGCTGTTCAAACCCCCCCAGAGATGCCTCAGAAGAAAGGCCTGGTAGTCTGCTTGTGAAAGGTCACAGCCTTGGAAACCCTATGGAGCAGGTATACTCTGCACACATGGGTCACCATGGGTCTAAATTAACTCGATGGCAGCTAACAACAATTCATGTGTACTAACTGTTCTGCATCTTTCTCTCTTGATTCTATTTCACGTATGTGTTTTCATGAACCATGTGGCCTGGATATTTAGCGGCTGCTATCTTATCTCAACATGGCCAGAGCGGGCTTTGAGCAGTCCTGTCTCTGACTTCAGTCCTGTGAGCAGGGCTGCTGTGAGCTCACTAGCCCTGGTGCACCTGTGTCTGTCCCTGCTTCCATTCCAGGAAAACTGCTTCTGAGGACAAGCAGGTGAGGTAACTGTCAGGGGCCTGCAGGCTGGGGCTGGGGCAGCTCTGCATCCCCTCTAGAGAAGGCCCTGGAGGGCTCTGCCAAAAAACGGCATCCACATACACCCCCACTGGAGGAGCCCTCTGCAGCCTCCCAGACCTCCGTCTGGCCTGGGGGACCGTCTTCTGTGAGGCCAGAAGAAAATACCTCCGGCTCTGGGGCTGATTGACGATCAGTCCATTTTCGTCTGCCTCCTCTGGTATCTTCATTTCCTGATCTGGCATTCAAATATGCAGTGCTAGCCAACGAG